TAAAACTTGCGATTTAGCAATGAAATCCCAGCACTCTGGGAGGCTGAGGAGAGCAGATCACGCCTGAGCTCAGGAGTTCGAGACCAGCCTGGGCAATGTGGTAAAACCCTATCTCTACTAAAAATACAAAAATTAGCTGGGCGTGGTTGTACACGATGTAATCCTGGCTGAGGCAGGATAATCGCTTGAACCTAGGAGGTGGAGGCTGCAGTGAGCTGAGATCGCATCACTGCACTCCAGCCTGAGACAGAGTAAGACTCTGTTTTAAAAAAAAGAAAAAAAAAATTAATCTATAAATTTCCTTATCCGTAAAGCTAAAAGAATACTTACAGGATTATTGAGTTTTAAATGAGATGATACATGTTTTGGCATAAGAAAGAAATGTGGAAACCTAAAGCCTGAAAGTGTAATACTGCACTTTACCAGTACCCTAATATCTCTACCATCACCGTATTCAATAAACATAACTAAGTCCACCATGTTAAAACTATGGATCCTGATTCTTACTAAAAATATTAATGATTCCATCTTCTATTCAACAAATAATGTACCTGATGGAATAGCACTCAAATAAATCAACCAAACTTAGTTTCACAAAAACTTAAGTTTCATTGTTCCAAGACCAAAAGCTACGACCTGCTCCTCTGAATCTTATTATAAATGCATTTTCTAGAGGCTTCACTGGTTACCAACCCCACATTACAACAAAAAGGAAAAAGTATAGTCAAACATTGTAAAATAAATCCCTAAATTTCAACTTTGTGTCTGAAAATTGTAAAGTATCCCTTAATTACTGCATAAGGAAATACTACCTTTACAGGACAAAATGAATAAAAAGTTAATTCTTAAGAAAATTAAATCTAATTTACCTTGTTTGAAATTTTTTTCAAATAAACTATATATGGGGCTTTCACACTGTTTTTTGTTTTGTTTTGAGACGGAGTCTCACTCTGTTACCCAGGCTGGAGTGCAATGGCTCAATCTCGGCTCACTGCAACCTACCAGGTTCAAGCGATTCTCCTGCCTCAACCTCCCGAGTAGCTAGGATTACAAGCACATGTCACCACACCCGGCTATTTTTTTGTATTTTTACTAGAGAGAGGGTTTCACCATGTTAGCCAGAATGGTCTCTATCTCCTGACCTTGTGATCCACCCGTCTCAGCCTCCAGTTCCAGGATTACAGGCATAAGCAACCGTGCCCCATCTCCCACACTTTTTTAAAAGCTATATACGAAAGTATTCAAACATTTACTCTTCCTAGAGCTACAAAGTTCAATGATGTTGTAAATGGTTTCTGCCTATAAATTTGGTTTGTTCAAATTAAATATTACTTGACTGACTCACAGAGGGAGTGGCCTGACTTGCTGTTCTGAGTCAGAAAATACCCCGTTCAGCAGTTCAAAACTATTTTTCATTTATAAAGGTGTTCTAAAATGCCAGCCTTTTCCAGCTATGAAATCTGTTGCCCTAGTAGAAAGATCTTAGTGGTAATAATACTTTGAATCTATAGTTCAATTTATAATTAACAAAGTGCTCTCACATGTTATTTTCTCATGCCTTCTGATTTAAGTGTCCTACACAGCTCAACAGAGAAACTTTCATATAGTAACAAGTTCTGGTTCACTCTTGGCCCCAATAAATATATTCTCCTCTTTTTCCAAAAAATAAAAAACATAAAAGGCTGCTGCATTTCTTTAATCAGACTTCCCTCACCCAGACATATCCCAGGTGCCTCATAAAAACTGTCTCAAAGCACACACCCATGGGCCCCAAGAGCCTTGCAAGGCAGAATCTCCTCCCACATAAAAGCCTAGCTTGGGCCCCAAAGAGCCTCCAGTCAGCATCTCCTAAATGATCCCCGTGCCTCCAGCCATTCAGTCTTCTCCATTAGTTTTAACAGCTCTCATGAATACAAGCTGCTAGGTCATCGTGTGGATGAGAAACCTCAATATAAGACGAGCTACTGACAGAGTAATATGATATACTGGAAAAATCAAGGGCTTTAGAGTCGAAGACCTGGATTTTTAATCCAGCACTAATTCTTATTATTTGTGTGACCTGCGACAAGTTACTTAACCTTTTGAGTTTCTGTGTCTCTTCATCTCACCACTGTAAACCCATGGGAGCTCATCACTGTATCCCTAGTGCCTGGCAAACAGAAGTGATTCAAGTAAGCCAAATGCATGCAAATGAAGACACCTACCACATTTTCTGTAGTTGTGAGAATTAAATGAGTATAAAAAGCACCTGCAGCACCGTGGGCAATTAATACTAATTAATCCCTTCCCTCGCTAAATAGTAACAATACTATTTAATATTTCTTATTTTTTTCAGAGAGGGTCTCACTGGCTCACTGCAGCCTTCACTTCCTGGGCTCACACAATCCTCTCACCTCAGCCTCCTCCAGGGTAGTGTGAACAACAGGCACACAGAACCTCACCTGGCTAATTTTTAATTTTTTGTAGAAACGTTTCACCATGTTGTCCAGGCTGGTCTTGATCTCCTAGGCTCAAAGCGATCCTCCTGCCTCAGCCTCCCAAAGTGCTAGGATTACAGGCAGGAGCCACCTCACCCAGCCAAAAAACATAATTTCTGACTTTTAATTTACACATCAATAATTTTGCCTGTAATTCTGTTATGTTCACTGTCAAAAGGACCACCCTCATGCCTGTAATCCCAACACTTTGAGAGGCCAAGCCAGGTGGATCATTGGAGGTCAGGAGTTCGAGACCAGCCTGGCCAACATGGTGAAACCCCATCTCTACTAAAAATACAAAAATTAGCCGGGTGTGGTGGTACACACTTGTATTCTCAGCTACTTGAGAGGCTGAGGCAGGAGGATCACTCGAACCTGGGAAGCCTAGGCAACAGACACAGCGAGACTCCATCTCCCAAGAGAGAAAAAAAAAAGGACCACACTATTCTTTGCTTATATTGAAAACCTACCAACTTCTAAGAGACATCTTTTTTTTTTTTTTTTTAAGACTGGGTCTTGCCCTGTTGCCTGGGCTGGAGTGCTCACTGCAACCTCCACCTCCCTGGTTCACGTGATTCTCCTGCCTCAGCCTCCTCAGTAGCTGGGACTACAGGTGCCTGCCACCACACCCAGCTAATTTTTTGTATTTTTAGTAGAGATGGGGTTTCACTGTGTTGGCCAGACTGGTCTTTAAGTGATCCACCCATGTCAGCCTCCTAAAGTGCTGGGATTAAAGGCGTGAGCCACCGCGCCCAGCTAAGAGACATTATTTTTTAATTAACATAATTTTTAAGATTATATCAAAGTGGGCTGGGCGCAGTGGCTCATGCCTGTAATCCCAGCACTTTAGAAGGCAGAGGCAGGCAGATCCAGAAGTCAAGAGACGGAAACCATCCTGGCCAACATGGTGAAACTCTGTCTCTACTAAAAATACAAAATAGCTGGGCACGGTGGTGCCCACCTGTAGCCCCAGCTACTCGGGAGGCTGAGGCAGGAGAATTGCTTGAAACCGGGAGGCAGACAATGCAATGAGTCGAGGTCGTGCCACTGCACTCCAGCCTGGTGACAGAGCGAGACTCTGTCTCAAAAAAAAAAAAAAAAAAAAAGATTATATCCAAGTGTAAAATCCCTATCAAGGTAATACTCTTCATGAAGAATCTCAACTTTTACAACACAAGAATGGGAAAAGTCCATGACAGTAATTAGTCCATTCACTATGAAACTTAAAAATGTCAAGACCAGAATACCAGCAAACAATTTCTCACCATCTTCACCAATACAATAGTGTGCTGGCAAGTGATTCTGAAGACCTGATAATGTGTCATTCTGCATCCTTAATTTCCTTTTGCACACTCAGCAAGGCATAACCACTCACTTCCCTCTGAAACTACTCTCCATTACAGAGCATGAGAGCAAGTACCATATTCCAACTCAGCAGTGGTTGTAGTTTGGTGACTCCAGACAGACAAGCGTTGGCTTAATGCCTACAGTGATGCTAGAACTGTTAGTCATCGCAAATTTCTTGACAAATTCCAGAAAATAATAAACTAGCCTACAGTTCAATTTACCTAACAATAAAATACTGTTCACCTGAAAAACTAGCAGTACTTTACAAAAGTTTATGCTTCTGAACACTTTACAGGCAAGAGTGTAGGATCTTGGGCAACAAACAAACTTCTTCATCAGCTCTCAGGTCCCCCAGACTAGGATGGGATAGCATTCTTGACAAACTTGGAAATTTACTTTGAAGTCATGAAACTTGGGAGAAAAAAATTTATAGAAACAACAAAAAACCACATCACATCCTTTCTGGGGGAAAAATGAAAATCCCAAAGCCAGAAGATCATAGTGCCGCGGTAAGAGACTTATACCCCGTTTCCTCATACTTGAACCTAAGGACCCAGGGACAAGATGCTCCTGGAAAGAACTCCCTAACCCAACACACCAGGGTTCACTATCGCCACACACAAAGACCAAGGGGAAGGTCCTCCAGAATGCCTGCTCAACACACTGGACACACGCGGGCACACCCTGCCACACTCCTGCCGCTGCCACGCACGTTCTCCCCCCACACTCCTGCTCTCTACCACTCTCTCAACTCTCGCCTCCCCCACTTACTCACACTCATTCTACTCCCACCCCTCAAACCCACACGCTCCCCGCACACCCATACCCTCCCCTGCCCTCACCCACACTCCCCCAACATCGACACTGGCCCCCGACCCTCTCTCCCGCCCCGCGCTCCCACTACTCCCCCCACAGCCTCGTACGGACACTCAGCCCTGTCCTCCACACACACCCTCCCTTCACCAACTCACTCTCTCCCCCACGCTCGCACAGCTCTCTCCCTCTTCCACACCCGCCCCTCGCTCACTCACCCTCGCTCCCCCGCCCCGGCCCGGCTCGGCCCTCCTTCCGGGGACGTGTCTCGGGCCTGCACTAATGGCTGCGGCGCCTCCCGCCCTCCCCTTCCCCGAGGCCCCGGGCGCCGGCGCAGGGGCCGCCCGGGAGGGGCGCACTCACGCTGGCGAGCTGGGGACTGGGCATTGAAGTCCGGCGGCGGCGGGAGCGAGGAGGCGCCTCTCTCCTCAGTCACCTCGGCGGCGGCGGCGGCGGCGGTAGCGGTGGCGGCGGCGGCGACGACTCCCCCCCAGCCTCGGCGCGCGACACCCGGCCCGGCCCGGCGGCGGCGGCGGCGCGTCTCCACGAGTCCGTCTTGCTGCTGCTGCTGCGGCCGCCGCTGCGTCTCCTGCTGCCGCCGCTGCCCCCGCTGCCCCCGCTGCCACCGCTGCCCTGTGGCGTCGCCTCGCGCCGTGCCCGGCCGCCGCTGCCGCTCCAGCCGCTCCTGGACGGACGACGGTTACAGCCCGGCCGATAGCGCCGCCGCCGCCACCAACGCTGCGCGCGCAGCCGGAACCAGCTCCCGCCACCGCCCCTCAGGGGGCGCTGCGGGGCGCGGCGCGCGGGGCCGCCGGCCCGCCCTCCGCGCTTGTTGACTGGCTGGCCCTCCGGCTCGCGGGCGGTTGGACCCGCCCATCTGCCCTCGGGGCGCTGACCCACTGCCCTGGGCACCTCCCCCGCTCCTCCTCCTTGTGGTTCGTTCCGCTCAGCACTCCCGGCTACGGAGGGCAGAACGTGGCCCGGGGAGTCGCTCGCCCACGCTGCGCCCCGCCCATCCGCACCTGGGCTGGGTCCAGGGCCAGAAGCCGAGGTGTGACCCACAAGGTCGAAGGGCTCTTTCCCGCTCCCAGGGCTTCGGGCCTGGGGCCAGATCCTGATGGGACGGGGCGGCCACCGAGTACTGTGCTTGGGGATTTCCAGCTCAGAAGTAGGAACCTGGGCAGCTCAGTTCTTGGCTGCTCTTCCTGGAGGCCCCAAATAAATGGCGTGTGCATTTTCGCGAAGGATATTTCTACGCCACCCCCTACTCTGCCCACAAGACACACACACAACCTAAGAACGGTCCCTGACAAGCCAAAATTAAGACTTTCAGGATACAGGATCGCGGACAAGTGATTCCCTCTCTCCAAGTATTATCAACTATTGAATGGAAATAATCAGCTACCTCATGAGCTCTTTCAGGGTCGACATGAAAACGCTTGAGAAAGGCCGGGAGTGGTGGCTCACACCTGTAATCCCAGCACTTTGGGAGGCCGAGGCGGGCAGATCACAAGGTCAGAGTTTAAGACCAGTATGACCAACATGGTGAAACCATGTCTCTACTAAAAATACAAAAATTAGCCGAGAGTGGCGGGCGCACGCCTGTAATTCCAGCTACTCAGGAGGCTGAGACAGGAAAATCGCTTGAACCCGGGAGGCAGAGGTTGCAATGAGCCAAGATCAGGCCACTGCACTCCAGCCTGGGCGACAGAGCAAGATTCCATCTCAAATGGAAAAAAAGAAAGATAGAAAAGAAAAAATGCTTCAGAAAGAGGAGACCCTGAATTTCAAGGTTTTCAACCTAAGGTCACCTTTAACGACCCAGATTATAGTAGAGATTCTCAAATGGAAAGATTTTTGCCTCTTGCATTTGGAAGCTAGCCAGAAATTCTTTGCCAGATCATGTGTCCTGAGTTTTGGTTTGGAAAATGTGGTCACCAGTGAGCTGGGAGGCTGGTTTGGGCCACGGCCAGATGGCAGGCAAAGCACAGCATTGGAGGCCGGCTTGATAGGAAGGGGGATGCTCCCCGTCTCCTCCTGCGAGTTGTGGGTTGGGGAGAGTCTGCTCTTTCTGTCCACCCCTGGGAAGTCTTGCCTGCCCAGAATTGGCACCTATCTAGAAAGAAATGAAGCTGTCCTTTGGGTGCTTCTCCCCCATCTCACCACCACATCCAAGTTCATCCAGCCCTGCAGGGAGAAGCAGTGGTCTGTCATCATTAGACCTTCCCTGCAAGGTAGACTTGGGGCATTGCTTCTGACCAGAAGGCTTCCATTAGAGCTTAACAGAAAAAAGAAAGGTCTTATGACTCAGCTGCATCAAGCCACAGCACAGAATCCAGGATGTTCAGCACCATCAGGTGGCCCAGCAGAGGGTATTCTGGGGCAAGGCTGGCTGGCAGAGCTGTGTGGGAGGTGAGAGGCCTTGAGGAGCAAGAGGGGCTGCAGATCAGTAGCAACGTCCTTGCGTGAGGAACACCCTCTGAGCTATCACTTGCGTTCTGCCTGCCTCTAGCAAGCAGCATTTTCTACTTCCTGGAAACACTGACTGATTTGAAACAAAAAGCTACCTCCTGTGCAAAACTTTTGCTGTGTCTATGGATTATTGATTCTTCTGATAAAATTGCAAAACACCTTATGCAATCCTCTACCATAGCACTTAACACGATATTGTAATTGCCTATTTTCAGATTCTCCTCTGCTTAAATGGATCTTTTGTGGGCAACCTAGCAGATTGTTTCTTTGTTTGTTTTAATCTCGTAGATTGTTTGAGCAAGTGAATGACACTTCCCTCCACCTAGCTCTGCTCTAGCCCTGAAATAAAGTAATGTAATAACAACATTAAAAACATAAGGTTTAAAATAATGGCTCCAGGCCTGTAATCCCAGCACTTTGGCAGGCCAAGGCAGGTGGATCACAAGGTCAGGAGATCAAGACCATCCTGGCTAACATGGCAAAACATCCCGTCTCTACTGAAAANAAAAAAAAAAAAAAAAACAAATCAGCAGGGCATGGTGGCACACACCTGTAGTCCCAGCTACTTGGGAGGCTGAGGCAGGAGAATCACTTGAACCCGGAAGGCGGAGGTTGCAGTGAGCCAAGATCGAACCACTGCACTCCAGCCTGGGAGACAGAGCAAGACTCTGTCTCAAAAAATAAATAAATAAATAAGCCTCCAATAACAGTTACCTTTTGGTTTTTTTGGTTTTTTTTTTTTGAGACATGGTCTCAGTTTGTCACCCAGGAGAGAATGCAGTAGGGTAAACACGGCTTACTGCAGCCTCAACCTCTTGGGCTTAAGCAATCCTCCTGCTTCAGCCTCCCAAGTAGGTGGGACCACAGGCCCATGCCACCATGCCCAGCTAATTGTTTATTCATTTATTTTTATGTATTTTATTTACTTTTTTTTTTTTTTTTGAGACAGAGTCTCCTTCTGTTGCCCAGGCTGCAACCTCCACCTTCCAGGTTCAAGTGATTCTCCTGCCTCAGCCTCCTAAGTAGCTGAGATTACAAGCGCACGCCACCACACCCAGCTAATTTTTGTATTTTTAGTAGAGACAGGGTTTCACCATGTTGGTCAGGCTGGTCTCGAACTCCTGACCTTGTGGTCCCCCTGCCTCAGCCTCCTAAAGTGCTGAGATTACAGGTGTGAGCCACTGCGCCCAGCATGTTTTTTTATTTTTGTAGAGATGGAGGTTTTGCCATGTTGCCCAGGCTGGTCCTGAACTCCTGGCCTCAAGCAATCTTCCTACCTTGGCCTCCCAAAATGTTAGGGTTATAAGCTTGAACCACCACACCCAGCCATAGTTATCTTTTATTAAGCATCTACTCTTTTCCAAGTCCTGATTGAAATGTTTTAAAATATGTTATCAAGGCCCAGTACAGTATCAAGCCTGTAATCCCAGCACTTTGGGAGGCCAAGGAGGTTGGATCACCTGAGGTCACAAGTTCAAGACCAGCCTGGCCAACATAGTGAAATCCCCATCTCTACTAAAAATACAAAAATTAGCCCAGTGTGGCAGGTGTCTATAATCCCAGGTACTCAAGAGGCTGAGGCAGGAGAATCACTTGAACCCAGGAGGTAGAGGTTGCAGTGAGCCAAGATTGCCCCATTGCACTCTAGCCTGGGCAACAAGAGCAAAACTCCATCTCAAAAATTAATAAATAAATAAATCATAAAATGAAATATATCAAGTTTAATGCTTCAAAATGACCCTATTAGGAAGGTATTGTTACCCCCCATTAAGAAAGGGAACAGAGGCTCAGTGAGACGAAATGACAGAAACAGGATTCAACCCAGGTTTGTCTGCCTCTGAAGCCCAAATAATCATGTTATTTATTTCTGACTTCAGTCAATAATTGGTGTCCTCAGAGTAAGCTGGAAACCCTTGCAAAATGCTGAAAAGAAATCTGCCTCTCAGAGGGAAAGGTCCTAGACCATGACACCACTGCCACTTTCCCTTGCCCCCAGGACAGTGGAGAGATGCTCTAACTCCTAACATCCAAATGGCCTCCTGCGGAAGGCTATGACTGGTTTTACTCCCTCCACACCTCAAACAGATCAGGAACTGGGCTGCAAGTGCCTTATTACAGCAGGAACTACCCCTGGCAGTGAGTTTCACACATAAGTGCCCCGAGTTTATCCAGTGCTTTGGCTGAAGCATTCCAAGTGCCATTCGCTGATTAATCTTCCCAGTGCTCCTGTGGGGCAAGCTGGCAGTACTCTTGGCTGATTTTACAGAGCATTAGCTCCTTGAGAGCAGGAGCTATGTGGCCCCACCACACACAGGGGTTAGAAAAACAAGTAATGGTTGTGTGGCAAAGAAACTGAAGCTCTCGCTGGCGCGGTGGCTCACGCCTGTAATCCCAGCACTTTGGGAGGCCAAGGCGGGTGGATCATGAGGTCAAGAGATCGAGACCATCCTGGTCAACATGGTGAAACCCCGTCTCTACAAAAAAAAAAAAATACAAAAAATCAGCTGGGCATGGTGGCGTGTGCCTGTAATCCCAGCTACTCAGGAGGCTGAGGCAGGAGAATTGCCTGAACCCAGGAGGCGGAGGTTGCGGTGAGTCGAGATCGCGCCATTGCACTCCAGCCTAGGTAACAAGAGCCAAAGTCTGTCTCAAACAAACAAAAAAAAAGAAACTGAAGCTCTCAGAAAAGTGATTTAGACAGAGGCTGGGAACAGGTGACTGGTTCCCACCCTGGGATTCTACACTACTTCATCTGGCATCTTTGCATTGCCATTTAGTTGTCGTGTAGACTTGGGGAGTTATTTCATCTACCTGAGTCTCTATTTTCCCATCTGTAAAATGGAAAGCTAAACATCAAAAAAAAAAAAAGGATTTTTGAGGAACAAAGGAGTTAGTGTGCTTAACTCATGTACTGAACACATGTTAAGTATCAATAAATGTTAGCTAGTACTATTATTAGGTTGGTACTTGGCACTGTGCAATGAATAAATGGAATGAGCTTCGATACCACCAGCTCTGCAGTTTATTTCAAAATTACAGATTCTGCAACTTACCATTAGCTTTGCGATGTTGGACAGAGGTTATAACTTCACCAATGAACCTTTCTCTTCATCTACGAAATAAGATGATAACTCTAAAATAAAGAGCTTGAACGTTCTTTGTTTTGTAAGCTGTCAAGCACTATGCAGACCTTAACTGCAGTTTTAGAAAGAGCACAGGCCTTGCTATATGACTGTACAGGAATCCCAGCTCTGCCCCTTAAACGCCTCACCTCTCAAGTTTTCCTCA